AATATATCGAGGGACAACATCTTTAGATGAATCCATGTTAACTGGAGAATCCATTCCTGTGACTAAATACGAAGGTGTAGAAAGAATGAAAAGTATTAATGTGGCCACTTCAAGACCGGGAATAATTTGATATTCAAATGCCATACGAACATTATTTGTTTTGGGTAAAATTAACATAAATATCATGGAAATAATAAATGTTGGAATGGCGAAAAGCAAAGACCAAAGAAAATGGTTCTTCAGTTTTAGTTGCTCTCTTTCAGCACGTTCACGTATATTATTTCCATCTTGATTAGAAAAATTATTTTTTATTAGTTGAGATTCGTATCCCAATTCATCAAGAGCCTTTATTAAATCACGTGGACCGATTTTATTATTGTCGTGTTTGAAGAACGAGATATTGATTTAGGACTTGTACAAGGTATTTTATAATTTAAATAAACCAAAATTTTACCTTTTAATTATTCTTACACATATCATATTCAAATTATGAAATCATTTTTAATTTAGTTGGTGATATTCTGAAAGTCAATCCTGGTGCTCGAATCCCATCTGATGGTTAATATTATATGAATTTTCTTTTTCTTTATTAGTTGAAATAATATTTTTTTTTTTAAAAAAAAATAATTGTAAATAATAATTTTATAGGAAAAATATATCGAGGGACAACATCTTTAGATGAATCCATGTTAACTGGAGAATCCATTCCTGTGACTAAATACGAAGGTGACGAAGTTATCACTGCAACAGTAAATTTATCATCAATGATTTGGATTAAAACTACTCGTGTAGGTTCAAACACAACACTTTCTCGAATAATTGATCTAGTAAAACAAGCTCAATCAAGCAAGAAAGCTCCGATTGAAGCTCTGGCTGATAAAATCGCACAAATATTCGTTCCCGCAGTAATTGTGCTAGCTATCATTGATTTTATTGTCTGGATTTCATTAGGTGCTGCGGGTAAAATTCCAATTGATTGGTTGCCAGAAAATGAAAATTATGTAATTTTTTCTCTCTTTTTTGCTATAAGTGTTTTAGTTATAGCTTGTCCTTGTGCTATGGGTCTTGCTTCACCAGCTGCTATCATGGTTGGTACTGGAATAGCTGCTCGGTATGGTGTTTTGATTAAAGGAGGTGGTGAAGCGATAGAGATGGCATTCCGATTAAATATTATTGCATTTGATAAGACTGGTACTTTAACTTATGGAAAACCACATGTTGTAGACACCAGAATTTTATATGAAAAACCAACTTCGGAAATAAATAATGAAGAATATAACTCCTATCGTGAATTACTTTGGCAAATTATTGGTCATGTGGAATCTTCTAGTGATCACCCCATGGCAAAAGCAGTAACTCAATATGTAAACGAAAATATATCGAAAAAAGAAAACAATATAATTATGAAATCAGTCACCGAGGTTCCAGGAAAAGGTCTCAAAGCTACCATAACGATTCATGATTCCATATCACAAAATTTACTTCCTATCAAGGCAAACAACGATAATTTATCTTACAATGTCTTTATAGGCAATGAAAGATGGTTAAAAGAAAACGGATGTATATATCCCTTTCATGTAACACAACACGCAGAAAACGCACTTCAGGAATGGCAAAGTTTGGGATATTCTATAGTCCTTGTTGGCCTTTCGATAAAATTCAATAATGATAAACAAAGAGAATCGGGATACATATTAGCACAATTGGGAATTTCCGATATCCCAAGACCAGATGCTTCAAAAACTGTAGCAACATTAAAATCACTTGGTATAGAAGTTTGGATGATAACTGGAGATCATCCAATCACAGCAAAAGTTATTGGTCAAAAACTTGGGATTGAAAATATTTTTGCGGAAGTTACTCCAGAAATGAAAACGGAAAAAATTAAATGGTTACAACGAAAAGGATACATTGATAATTCAAATCGTCATAATTTTTTGAAATTATTAACTCGAAATCGTAATACACAAAGACCAATAGTAGCTATGTTAGGAGATGGTATAAATGATTCGCCAGCATTAGCGCAAGCAGATTTACCAATTTCAATTGCAAGCGCAACCGATGTTGCGATAGAAACAGCATCAATCATTCTAACTAGATCGACACTTTCATCTTTGATTACATTAATTAATTTAGCAAAAGCGATAATATGGAGAATTAGATTAAATTTTATATGGGCTTATATTTATAATACTTTGTCTATACCAATAGCAGCTGGTATATTCTTTCCTTTATTTAAATACGGGTTGAGACCTGAAATAGCTAGTTTAGCAATGATAATAAGTAGTGTTAGTGTGATATTGAGTAGTTTGCATTTGAAGAAATTTAAAGAACCTAAAGAAGTAAAATATTAGATTATATAATGTTCAAGATTAGATAAATATAATATTTGCTGTAACGCAAACCAAATAAACAGTAAAAATTGCTTTTTGTATCGCAAACAAAATAAAAAATTGTCATTGAGAATACTTTTCTTATCTTTGTCATGTTCAATAAAATCTTTTGATTCTAATAAAGCCCACTCTGAAGGGATTTTATTAAATCAAAGAATTAATTTACTTGAACAAAAGATTACTTTAGAATTCCAAAATATTATCACAAATTAATTATAATGATTCATATAATAGTTCATATAATGGTTCAATCAATTCATTATCTAAGTCGGTCGCCGAATATAAAAAGCCAATTTTGAGTTATTAACTCTTTATTAGCTAATTAAGAGTACTGGATAGACATGGGATTATACCACATGACCTATTAAACCTATATTTAAATTATACCATAATCATAATGATAAAACTGGGAACATGTAAAATGTACAACACTTGGCAGATATCTTTAAACAAAAAAAAAAGGGAATACATTGTAATGACAAAAAAAGTTCATTTTAAAATTAATAAAATTAAAAATTGATATAATCTACATTTGAATTGTTATCTAGGTATATATTTGGTATTGACGATTTTCGAGGATAATAATAATAATGATAATACAATACATGGAGGAAATTTCATTCTCTCAGATTATGTATGCCAGATATCACATTCCAAATAATTTGTACCACAATAAAAATCGAAATTTCATTTATCAATTTTTAAATATAAATTCTGTCTTTTATTTCTTCCCATTAATTGGGTTATTTTTTTCTTGTAAACCAATAATTTGTTATCTTTTTCGAGACATTCGAAATTTGAATAAATTAAAAAAAATATGAGAGGATTACCCCCTCAATATGCGCATTCTCAAATAGAATTAAAAATTTCGTGCCGAAAATTAGTAGATATAGATTATCTATCGAAAAGTGACCCTCAAGTTATATTGTTAATT